TCTCTCTCTCTCTCTCTCTCTAGAAACTCACTCTTTTCTCTTGGGTGTTGTAGATCCCTAACTAATACTTTGTAATTACTTGTTTAGATTGAATGATTGTCATTGGGTATTGTTTAATTCAATGATTGATGTATTATTCATGTTGATTGTGCATGCTTATGCTTAGCAATCTAAGGGTTTTGCATGTTTTGTGCTTAGCATCCTTAAGTTTGTGCATTTTGGTGTTTAGCAATCTAATTAGCCACTTTAACCAAAGTTAATTTAGGGCAAACCTCCATGTTGAATTAAGCAAATTGGTTAAGCGTGATTAAGCCATCCAACCTTGAGTTGAGTAAGGGAGTAAGTCAATTACTGATTGCCTAAACCGAGAGGGTCGAGTGACACGGCTTTTAATGTTCACCTCGGTTTAGTAATTGAGATTGTGGTCCCCGGCCATATATGCATCCCTCTGCGGTTCGCGGTTACTAGTTTGCATCTAGGTTGGCTGTGATTAAGCCGCTCAAACTCCGGTTTGAGGGAGAGACCTAGGCAACCGCTAGAGACTGAGTGAGAGGATCAATCTCGTGACAAATCGATCTCTAGCGAATCTATCCCGTGACAATTGGATCACTAGTTGCTTCTGCTAGAGGTTCCCCTAGACTTGGTGAGTGGATTGATCTCGTGACAAATCGACCGCTAGTGAATTGATTCCGTGACAGATTGATCACTAGTTGCTCAACTCCTGCGGTTCACAACCACCTATACCACACGACTCCATTCAATCCAACGAGTCATGGTAGCAAGTTAGGGGGAAGCAACTCCTGGGTGAAGCTCCCTTAGTTAGAATTTCCTTTATTTACCTTTCTTTGCTTGGTTAGTTTGTAGTTTCAATAAACCTAAACGGCTAAACCCTAAAGTTGCTTGCTATATAACAACTTAAGCGGTCGAAGTAGGGGTACATGGACCAGCCCGGGTTGACAATTTAAATACTTGCTCTATATTGCACCCGACTAGATTTTAAAAACTTGGACTCTAGCCGAGATTAATTTGTGGTGTAGTTTCGTGTGAGTCAGTAGGAGGAGTTACGAATCCTACAAAACAAGGGTGTTATTGTCTCATGGTCAATTACATAGTAATTAGGGTTTCCGTTGCTATTACTCTATTATGATATGTATGATAGCAACACCTCTCATGTGTTGCTAACTAAAGATTACTCACGAAATATGATCAGACCTAGGGTGATGTCGGGTATGGCTTCACCCATTAATGTATGTATGTATGTATGTATGTATGTATGTATGTATGACCACCTCCGACGAGATGTTGGGTATGCATGTTGTCCCGAGAGAGTTATTAGGAATGTTGTCAAAACCGAATCGAAATATGAACCAGTATAATGAACGGTTTGCATTTTATTGGTTTAACCGCTAAAAGGCCGCTAAAAAACCGTTACCGAACCGATACCTTGTAAACAAGAATATTATAAGTGCTAAATACATTGTAAATTCAATATAGAATTCATTACTAATAAATAAATTTCAAACACTATTATTAAAGTTCCCAAACAAAAATAAAAAAAGGTAAGATAATAAAAAATGTTAACATCAGTGAAAGAAATCTGATTTGTCCATCTAACTAACCAAACTAAAATAAAATAAGATAATAAAATATTCCAACCGAGAGGTACAGATGGGATGGCATTGGAAATGAAAATTTTCAACCTTCTCCTCCTAATTCCAAGGGATTGAATTAGCTTACAAGAATAGATGAAAAGCCTCTTTTTCGGGAAACGAGCGGACAAGTCAGCGTCGGACGCCGTGCTAATATAATAATGGACTGGACAGTTAAGAACCGGCTGACCGGGTTGAATGATTTTGACAGTTAACCATTTTTTAAGTGTGCCGAGCCGAGCTGGTGACTGCGTCCCGGTTTTACTGGTTCGACCGACCGGCTTGGTTCGGCTTTAATAACACTGGTCATTAGCATGAGAGTAATCAGGCGCTAAATAAAATATGATAAGACGCATATGCATAAGTAGATGTGGTTGAGTCTTTTGCCTATTGGAATGTTGGATGGCTGAGGTCTGACCCTAGTGTTTTGGCTTGATTGCTAGATGTATGATAGGGGTATTCTTTGTTATGAACTCACTATGCGATGATTATCTCACTTAACTATGAGTTGACCCTCTTTTGTTTTTCGACTATGCTTATGCCATGTGTAGGTAGATCATCAGCAGCAGTATCTAACTACCTAGGAGCAGGCGAAGCTTGGAGTTGAAGGCAAGATGAGGTAGTGTCTTAAACTATTTTATGCTTGGATGACTACTCAGAATTTCAGCCAGTGATCCACACCTTTTTATTAAAAAAAAGTGAGAATATTTTTCATGTGCATGCTAGTTTTTTTATGTAGTGTGAGATATTCATAGGTGTGGAAAGTTGATGATATGTGTATATGTGTGTTGTTGTGTAAGTTGTGACGATTATGGCATGTATGAGTATGGAATAAAGTTATAGAGTATGAAACTGTGACTATGGTATGAAAGCCATTGTATATGGTTGTAGATATATATATGCATATCTATGAATGCAGAGATTCAGATAAAATATTTTGTAGGTCTAGTTGCAAGAACTGTACCCATTACGAGAGTCATTCATGTCAAATTTTAATTGAAGTTATTTTACGAATTAATGTAAAGCTCGAGATTTTTTTTCCGCTGTGAATGACAAACAAATTGATTAGTTAATACGTATAGGGTGGGGTGTTACAATTTAGTATCTGAGCCTGATTCCCTCTTTTTATTGTTATGACGTATTATGCCCAATAGGAGGTTAAATACTCTTAAGGAGGAGAGTGCCTCTTAATGACTTAAACTGGAAATTGAATTTACATGATTATGTGTATTGGTATGGTAGATGGAATTACCTGCATTATGGTTTTCAAAATTATGTTGAGTTCTTAACTTATTTTCCAAGTAATTATTTTGGAAACATTTGTTTCAACCAAGTGAGAGATTTGGTTTATACTAAATTTTGTGTGGATCAATCTAAGGTCAATGTTTCCTTGTAGCTCGCATGGAAGTTGTTCTAATGTTCCTAATGACCAGTTGATAGGTGTGGGGGCGGGTGATGCAAGACCGTCATTATTGGACTATGCAATGATGAAAAGTTAAGGGAGATGTGAGTCCAAATGTTATTGTAGAGTTTATGGCTTGAACTTACATGCTTGTGCATATGTAAGAGTTTATGGCTTGAATTTTGGCTTCAACATGTGAACTTTCAAAAGTTGAAGCAACTCACGGTTTGAACCATGGTCATGGTCAAGTTCACCAGTTGATTTCTATGTTCAAACCTGGGATCTTTTTTACGCGGTCTTGAAATCCAAAGTCACAGACTCCCTTACTGCTTGTGACATAAGCTTCCATGTTATTTGAGGTAGTAATGTTGGCCACGGCTTGGGCCACGACAGTGGCTCTGGCCATAGCCTGGCCTAAAGTCTCATTTTAATCTTTCAAATAGTAGTCTGGCCTAAATTCCCATTTCCATCTACCAAATAGTGATGCCAAATTTAGACCTGTTTGTGACGGATATTACCTGACCCATAGTAGCGTATGGCGGGATATGGGTATTGCTTCTGACAAATTTTGACCTGTTTGTGACAGATATTACCTGACCCATAGTAGCGTATGGCGGGATATGGGTATTGCTTCTGACCTACCATGCCTCGTTCTCGACCCGTTCTATCATGATTTGCACCAATATCTACATGTATTTCTCCTCTTTTGATCTTTCTAAAATCATATTTCATCCCAAAGAAATATTACGTATCTATCTTTCAACTATTCATAGTCGATTATTCCTTCTACTATATTTCTTATTCACTTATGTAGTGTTTCTGTGTATTCTTGTAAAAGAGTTAAATATCGATATTACTATTTTGAAAAACGTATAAGAGTGGGTCGTCCCCGCCCCACCCCTCACCCACGCAGTATTATCTTACCTAGCCCGTGCTTAGTACGGGGAGGGTATGAGTATTGAGGTACCCGCCCCACCTCATTGCCATCACTACTTCCAAACGAACTTTGAATGACACCAAACTTGGTACAACCCTCCTTATAATGCTAGAGACAAAAATTAGAAAAGAAAATACAATCTAGCATTAAATATAATAATAATGAGCAAGTCAAGAGAGAAATGGCCAAAAGCCGATAAAAATCCAAGTCCTAGGATATCAACATTTAATTACGTACAACACAAAACTAACCACAAATGTCCAAATTATAACGATTATGACATTAAAATATGCATAAAATGCATGTCATTTAATCATCAAAGTGCTACTGAGTTGGCCTAATTAATGCGAGAGTGAGAATATCCATTCTAGTGATGGCAATGGGGCATGGCGGGTAACACAATACCCATACTCCGCACACGCTATTGCGGGGCGGATCGACCCACTCTTACATGTTATATGAAAAAAATACACGTAAATTTTCCTTTTACATAAAACAAATGAGAAAACAATTTATGAATGAATAATAGTGAAAATAAAAAATAGAATGTGTAATTGAGCCTAACAAGTTGAAAGATGGACTCTAATTAGTTGAGTAAAAGTCAAAATAGGAGAAAATGGACCAACAACGGGGCGTGGCGGGTTAGAAGTAGATACACATGCCCCACCACACGCTACTGCGGATCGGATAATACCTGCCCCATCGCGGATCGAGGCCGAATAGAATAACAACACTCAATATGTTTTTACTGTAACAACAATTGCATAAGGGTATACTTAAAAAAATCTAATAAAATAAATTGAGATAAAATGAGCCAAGAAGGGGGCGTGGCGGGATAAGGCGGGTCAGAAGTAGATACACATGCCCCACCACACGCTACTATGAGTCTGATAATACATGCCCCATCGTGGATCGGGGCTAAATAGAATAACAACACTCACTATGTTGTTACTCTTTTTTTTTTTTTGTAGTAAGACGGAGCGAGAAGGCGCTCCAAACCTTTAGTAAGCAATCAGCCTAGGCGTTTGAATACCATACAATCATGGAGTAACCAGAAATTCAAAGCAGCAGTAGGGGTCTGTATCATGTGCTCGCCCACTGCATGTGAGTGTCCCTTTGACGCCAGGAAATCAGCCGCAGCGTTCGCTTCCCGGTAGATGTGTTTGAGGACGACCTGCCAGGCTCTCTCCAACAACCTGCGAACCGGCATGACGAGCTGGTAGTGCGGACCGCTCTCTGTCGCAGCCTGAACAAGGTCAATCGCCACTCTGGAATCCGTCTGGACCTCGACCTTCCGTGCTCCCACCTCCCAAGCTGCCCGTAAACCAATTACAATAGCCATCAACTCCGCCCGCGTTATAGATCCTCCACCCAGGTTGGCTGTAAAAGCACTCACGAAACGCACATCCTCCTCTCGAATTACTCCACCCGCAGCTACACTCCCCGAAGCATTAATGACTGACCCATCTGTGTTAAGGCAGTGCCAACCCGTCGGCGGTGGGGTCCAAGAGATTAGCTCTCGCCATCGAGCTCGGGCTTGTTCAAAGATTTGCTCCTCCTTAGCGCAAGCACTCTGAATCTGGGTCTGCATCCTACGGGCATAATGCTGTACTACCGAGACCTCCCCCAGAACCTTTTCAAACACCCAAGCATTTCTGTTTTTCCATAGCGCCCAGCACACCACCGCAAATAGCGTAGCATCGATCTTTGTACTCCTCCCTGTAAGATAATGAAGAAGCCAACGATCCAGTTCCTCCTGGAAGAAAATGGCGTCGGATTCCCCCTCTAGAAATGCTGCCCATGTAGCCCTTGCATAGTAACAGTCTCTTAGCACATGAAGGGTCGATTCTGGGCCATTTCCACAAACCTGGCAGGCATCTGACGAGGCCAAGTGTCTTCTGCGTCGCTCGTCGTTGGTGAGGAGACGTTGATGGGTGGCCAGCCAGAGGAATGAGCGGATCCTCTGCGTCGCCGGTGTTAGCCACACCGCCCTCCACAATCGATACTGTCCAGTTGGTCCTTCCTCGCCAGCTGTCAGCTCATAAGCCGTCTTGATAGAGAATTTCCCCGAGTCCGTCAGCCTCTAGATTGGGACATCCGGGCTCATTCCCTGGGGCGGCGGATGCAGCTGTACTTGCTGTACAAGCTCTGATGGAAGAAAATCTTGGAGATAAGCTACATTCCAATCGCCATTGAGGGTCAATTCTGCAACTGTTTGCGACCGTGCTTCCATAGGCAAATTTACTGCGAGTTCGGCCAACGTTGGGCCATCCTGCAACCAGCGATCTTCCCAAAACAAAGTGGTCGATCCGCTGCGTACGTTCCACATCAGATCGTTTGGGAGGAAGTGAAGAACCCGTAAGACTCCCCTCCACAGATTTGAAAGTCTGCCAAGGGCACAACAAGGGCACAAGGATAAACTTACCCAAAATCTATTAAAATAAATTAAGATAAAATGAGCCAACAACGGGGCGTGGCGGGATAGGTCGGATCAGAAGTAGATACACATGCCCCACCACACGCAACTGTGGGTTGGATTATACCTTCCCATTGCAGATCGAGGCCGAATAGAATAACAACACTCACTATGTTATTCATGTAACAACAAGGGCACAAGAGTAAACTTACCCAAAATCTAATAAAATAAATTTTAAATTAAAATATTTCTTACCCACCCCGTCTTGTTCACCCTCGCACTGCATCTCGATTCTTCTTCTCACCCCCATCGCGTCGCTTCTCCTCTGCCCCGATTCTTCCTCCGTCGCCCCAATTTCTTCCCCACTGCCCCTGCTCGTTCACGATGTACCATTGAGGTCCTTTCCTCTTACCCAACCCGAGAATCCCTTTGGAGTGCCCCTGGAATTTATTGACGGGCTTCAAAATCAAGGTTTTTTCTTGAACATCAATGGCACAGATTCATCTTACCCAGCTAGATCGTCTTCTCGATTTGCCGACAGCCCCAGAGAATCGAAAATCGGTCCAGGCAACTTATCCCTCTTGGGATCCAGTTGAGTCGTTCTAACTACGACATCCCAATCGATTGCCAAGTATAACTGCCAACCGTGTGTAGCATAGGGCAAGCAAGCAATAAGAATTTATCATACCACGGGGATCTAGGCTTACCCTACTTCCGGTTTAGGGTTTGTTATCTAGCCAACCTAGGATAGTGATTGATAGAACTAAACAAACTAACCTAGACTAACCATTAACCTAGCTATTTACAAGGTTGAGAGCTCTCTTGGGTTGAATCATCCTAGGTCCATCCTTTGGATCGATGTTGGGTATCCTCCTAGCTCGATCGACTCAACTACACTACCGTTTGCAGATGGACTCCCTCGGGAACTACCCGAAATGACGAATCGATGGATGGGTAGTGCTCTATTCAACCTAGGGTTTCGTATAATGATAGGAGACCGCTCGAATCAACTCCCTCGGGGAATACCCGGACAATATACGATAGGAGTGATCTGAAGACGCCAAAAGGGGGCTCTAAGGGGATTATCTCCCTCCTAGGTCAAAAGCTCCATACATGAAAATGGAAACCCAACTCATGCCATTCATGAAAACATCCATAAATTAAGTATAATCATCAATCAATCATGGAGTTCATCACATACATCAACATTAAACCCAAATCTAGACCTAGGGTTCTTAAACCCAAGAGAAAAGGGTGAGTTTCTAGAGAGAGAGAGGCGGGATTACAAAGAAACCTCTATATCTTCATCCTTTTCTTCTAGGCTTGATTCCTAGATTCCAAGCTTGATCAATGCCTTCAATTAAGCTCCAAGATCACACTCTCTCTCTCACTAGAACTCCCCTTTGGTGTTTTGGGTTGAAACCCTAGAGAAGAAAGTGTTCCTTCTCCAAAAACTAGCTCCCTTTTATCTCTCCCCGCTGTTATCTTCATATTTGCCCGAAAGTGACCAGTTCACGGTCGCGTTGTCCAGTTCACGGCTGTGAACACCTAAACGCATCCCTGAACTCAGTGTCATCTCCAAAACGTACCGCTTCACTCTCCTGGGTTCACGGGTTGCACTCAATGGTCACGGTCTTGTTGACCGTGAACTCGCCTTGCGCCAGTAACGACAGATTTCTCCCTGGACGCCTCGCAGTTCACGGTTTGTGGTTCCAGTTCACGGACTTAGAGACCATGAACTCCAATGTCAGGTTGTGAACTGCAGCTGATTCTTAGACGTCTGCGCTTCTTAAACCGTGAATTTGGACGTTTTTTCACCGTTTGACACTTTTCGACCTCCAATCGTCCAAAACTCATCCTCGACCCTTCCACGCGTGCTAGGACCTGAAATGTATCAAAACAAGCACAACCTAGCGTGAAATATGTCGAGGTACGATGAAATTCAAAGCCAAATGATCAATATATGAGGGTGAAAAGTGTACAATTGGACGTGAATCACTCCCCCACACTTGAACGTTTGCTTGTCCCCAAGCAAACCAAACATAAAACAAGGTAGGCTTGCAACTTCTCTTTTTCAACAAAATTTTTGAGGCATGTCATAGGGCACAAAATAAATGAATCACAATGGTTATTTGACATCGACCTATGGAAAAAGACAAATTAATCATGACAACCACCACAAACGACATTCGACTGTATTAGGATTGTGCAAATGAAGAGTTCTCACATTATTCTTGAACCAACACACAACATGCCTCGACGAATCACCAGTCATAGTTACTCATGCATGAAGATTACATCATAGGAACCAACGATTGAGCAACCTAGGTCCTCACCGGGGTATAAGAAATGAGCAAAACATGATGAATGAATCACTCACTCTCAACCAGTGGGGTCAGGACCATTTGATGGAAAAGATGTGCATGTTCATGCTCAATCCTAACGTCTCTTTACCATGACGGTAACCTCTAAATGTTAGAGTTCACAAGATGGGTGTCATTGCTAGCTTGTCCGTAGGTCTTAGACACGGGTTCAAATGACTGGCTAGGGTCTAGGACATGGGAAAAAAGGTTGTTTGGGTGGTGGAAAACACAACACGAGGTTCCACATCTTCAACTTAAACCATCAAAAGTTTCTATGGTTTTAACTAAGAACCTTTCCTACAATCAACGGCCACTAGCTTCGACCAAAAACACACTTCCCACACTTCCGAAACACAACCAATCACCAACCCTTTCACAACTATCTTTCTTTCTACATTTGCTATTCAATTTTAAGCACAAGAGTGTGGTAGGAGAACAACATGTAAGTGTTCCTAAAGCTGGAATGCTAAGCAACACTTCTAAGAGCATGTTAAACATTTATTATATTTTTGGTGGCCTCTCTTTTCTCCTTTGCCCTTTTATTGATATCTTTTTCTCTTTTTTTTTCTTTTCTTTACTCCTTTCCTTGAGGGCGATAAAGAACTAAAAACATGCCACATTTTGTAACTTAAGGAACAATGCTCCCATTTACGAACTACCTCCACACTCACTTCACTTCTTAGCAAAACCATACACAAATCACTCATGTGGAACCTCGTTTAAGCTCAAATGGTATGAATGGAGCTTCCAAACACAAGGGTGACTCGATAACGGTGTAGACACGAAGAAAGTAGGGTCGCTCTATCTAAATCAATCAAGCTCAAGTAGTGTGAGCTACCTAACACTAGAACGACCCTTAGACACACGACTCAAAAGGGCTGACTAAGGGATAATATGATCAGGTCGGTCAACTTTTGGGTCGTGGGCTAATCTTATGCCTCCATCTTCCTCGCTAGCAACAACATGAATGCTACGCATCATGTAAAGGGGGATCTATCGCACAAGAACGAAACGAACGACACAAGTCTCACATGGATACCTTGGTGCTCAATCATTCATTCTCACTCCCTAAACTCGATGCATAGGAAACTGTGAAAAGCAAGTATTCGATTCAAACATCTATCGGGTCACAAACATATGAGAAATGAGCCTATGCACAAACCTAATACATGTCTCAATCATCAGCATAGGTCGCACACAATCACAAGCAAATCATCCATAGACAATGCTAATAACCACGAGATTCAAAACAAATCACCACAAAGTGCCACTACGATCATGCAAATGTAGAAATTGTTATGCTTTGAGCCCTCAAATTTTAAAAATCTGGGCATACAACTAGGCTCCAAGCATTCTAAATCACACCAAACATTCACACACACATGCATAATGGACTACCCCCCACACTTATGTTCGACATTTCCCTCAATGGCGTAAAGTAGGGAAGTAGAACAATGTTACCGGTACGATGTGAATGTTGGTAGTAGGGATCGGAGGTCGGTCGAGATCCGGAGGAGCAAGGAGACGGCAATACACCACCAAAATATCTCCAATGGTCTTCTTATTGGAGCGGAAAGTAAACAAACCGATGGTAGATGGGTTGCCTCCCACCAAACGCCTCTTTAACTTTGTGAGCCGGGAGGTTGCTCCTCAAGTTCTGGTCCACCCTAAAACCTCTTTGAAGTTGAGGTTCTCATCGGTGAGGTGATATCTCAAGTCACGAGCATTGGACGAGTCCATGATTGAGGGCTCGTGAAGTTGAGTGGGTTTGAGGCTCCACCCATGAGACCTCTTCTTCTTTCCTTCTTCCTT